CCATTAATAAAATATGGTGAACCATCTGTATATTGACTTTCATCATAATGTTTTCCTTCAGGATAATCCGGTGTTTTAGAAAGAAAATTAATCACATTTAAACGAAATCCATCAACACCTTTATCAAGCCATAAGCGCATTATTTTATAAATTTCTTCTCGTACATTAGGATTATCCCAATTAAGATCAGGTTGTTTTGGTGTAAATGTATGTAAATAATATTCACCAGTGATTATATCATAGGTCTATAATAAATAATAAAAGAATTGAAAACTAATGATAGGAAATTTACCCAAGCAGGACCACCAAAACGTGCTCTCCATTGATTTGGTGCTTTTCCATCTTTGCCTGGTGCCCAATGATAAAAATTTCGAAATGGATTATCTTTACTTTTTTTTGATTCAATAAACCATGGATGTTCATCACTTGTATGATTAATAGCAAGATCCATAACTAATTTTAATTGACGTTTTTTCATTTCCTTTAACATAACATCAAAATCATCCATTGTTCCAAATTCAGTCATTATTTTTGTATAATCACGAATATCATAACCATTATCATAATTAGGTGAATCATAGATTGGACTAGAAAAAGTATTTTCATGTTTGGAGATAGTAGCAAAAATATTATCTTACCTTAACCAAATAATATCAACACCTAATTGTTTTATATAATCAAGTTTCATTATTATTCCATTGATATCACCAATACCATCTCCATTTGAATCAAAAAATGAACGTGGATATATTTGATAAGCAACTGAATTATGCCACCAGTCAGTATTTTCTTCTATCGACATGATTAACTTTGTATAAAATATAGAAGAAATAGGAAATAGAATAGATTCTTTCTAGTAATAACTAATAGAAAATTTAATGCTTTTAGTTTTATTCTATGGACCGTCAAGGACTAAAAAACTGGAAGAATTTACCGGTTACATAAAAAGAAGCATAATATTTATTAATGGAAAGGAAAAGGTAATCAAGTTGAAAACTACTGCAATTGGTGGAATATAAAAGCGGATGTAGAGGTCACACTAATCCATAATATATAGTCGGAAAACATGTTTTGATAACTACATTTCTATATCACAAGTTATTTCTGATTACAATGTGTATAATAGATCAATTACTATTTGAAGTATGTTTTTCTATTGAAAATCACTTGTCTCTTATTGTAACTATGATGATAGTCGAAAATTTTCAATTGTTATATGTATGGATTGTCTTATCATCGTGATTTATTAAAATATAATTGCTATTCAAATTTCGCTGACATCGAAACAATGACAAATATTATATATGAATGCTGTTATTTGTAAAGGATATTATAGCAGATGAAAACATCAATCTGCTATTTATTTATATTAAGATCTTATTGTCGATATACTAAAAAGAATGATTAGATTTATAAATAAATAAGGAATCTTTGTATTTTTGAATTGTAGGAATTCTTTTCAGCATTTGTTGAGATATATTGTTATTATCAATTTGATAAATGTGGGTTATAGGGTATAACAATATTTACATTACTAATTTCTAATCTTTCTGCACAACTTCAAGTGACACAATTCAGAAAAAAATATGATTCATTCTTTTTTTTTTCGTCGGATTGGCCTTTACATCTGAGAATTTTGTTTAAGATTATTGAATAAATAATGTTCGTTTTATCTTATTGCAATACTATAAAAATGAATAATAATGACGTTAGTTTATTCAAATGAGTAATTCTATAATATTAAAATATTCGAAGAAAGTTATATCCTTTTAAATGATTAAAAATGTTTCCTTTATTTTATTTGAAGGAGAAATAGGTTAAAAAAAATGCAAATTTTTTCTTTCAACATTGAAGAGGCGATTGTGCAAGATCTTTTAAGAATCTAGTTTTTATATATAATTATATTCACAATGTACGTCATCAACAAAAAATTTTTTCAGAATAAATGTTGATTTAAAGAAAATGAAATTTTCTAAGTGCGAAAAACAAAAAAGAAAGGGGCTCGTAGGTCGTGAATAGAGGTTGCCTGCCAATACTCGAATTTCAATGCAAACCATAACAAATAAATTTTTTGTGGTGAAGCCTAACAAAGAAATGAGAAAAAAAAACGAAAAATAAACTTTGCCATCTTCAGACATTTGTGAACTTTATGAAAGACACCCACTTAAAATTTTTCATATAACTTTGTTGATTTGTCTATCCCCATACACATGTGTTAGTTTTATAAATAATTAAAACAGACAAAAAGTCCCCATGACATATACAAGAAAAAAAAAATTTATTTTATTAAAAGGACATTTTTCTGTAAAATTTATTTTTTTGAAAAATATCCCACTTCGCGCAAGTTAACCCTATGATTCATAAAATATAGAAAGATTTACTTTGACTCATAGATAAGCACTTGTATTCACATAGAATAAAGCTGAAATGCATTTAATTTTCAAAAAAAACAAAACTGAATTACTTTTCTTCACAGAAGACTGTAAGACAAATATAAGAACAGAAAAAACGTGAGTATTCGTTATAAAAATATAACTGCTTTTTGGCTGAAAAAAGTAATTTTTTTTTTCTAGTTACCGTTGAAGGATTGTTTTAACGTCACATGATATATGGCACGAATGGAGCCAGAACTACACGAAAATGTGACTATAGCTACAAAAACATATAGACACCGTAAAAATTTCATTATTTCTCAGTAATTTTTCAATTAATTTATATAGGTACCACGGATACACCACATACAGTTAATTCTCACGATATGAATGATTTAGTAACTGATCATATTTTTATTGCACCATATGAAATATGTGCTGCTGGTATTGGCTTACTTTCGATTTTAGTTAATCGACATATTATAGATGCATCTTTTTCAAAATTATATCAATTGAGGTATATACTAAATAATCTCATAAAATTTAATATATATTATTATTTAGTTTGAGACTTGGATGGGAAAAAGTATTCACTCAAGAACGACAAAAACTTAAACCTAATGATATATCAGTAATGAAATGTTTTGTATTAAACAGATTATTACAGGAATATTTAAAAGTAAGCATATTTATGAACAACCTTTTTTTTTCCTCTTTCATACCATATAAATAACATGTTGAACGCGAATATAACAATCGAGATCTTTCTTTAAAAAAAATTTCTAATAGAATTTGATGGAATAATATAAATTAAAATTTCACTATTGATTAGTCTTTAATTAATTTCTATTCATAAAAATTTTCTTTGAATAAAAATGCTCTAATGTTAAAAGTACGAAAGAAAACGAAAAAAAAAATCAAGATTTCGTCTATTTTCAAGTACAATTTGAAGTATAGGTGAAGGACACCGATAAAAATGACGACATAGTGCATTTTTTTTCTCTTATAAAACGATTCTCTTTTTATCGAGGGTGATATTATTTTGTATATAGAGCAATCATATCTTACGCTGTTATACTAAACTAGTTTTCTTGATATGTAGAGCATATATCTAAATATTGCTTTTTTTGTATATCTTTTAGGATTCACATAGTTTTGTTAAAAGATCAAAGACTTTATATAATGAAATTAAATCGCGTATGTCTACGGATTTTCCACAATGGGTAAATAGATAATATATATATATATATATTAATTGTATCTAATTTTATTCAGACGTCACAAAATTTATTTGAAGAAGTTAAACGTTGGCAAGATATGCAACGTCGACGACGTTTGTTTTACTTTAATCATACAGAATTACGACAATTACCAGGTCTATTAATGCTACATAAAGCGTATGTACTAGATTATTTAATGTCAAAGTATTTCAATATTATATAAATCTTTAGTGCAACTAATTGGTGTCATTGTTTAATAAATCATTTTCGGCAAAATACTAAACTTTGGGAAACAGAAGGACGTAATCGTTTCACCGAACACTTTCAACAGTTAGTTATTATTTTTTTCTTTCGAAATAGAAATACAGATAAAAATTTTTTCTCAATAGTTCATTTATCATTGTTGCACAACCAACTGGTTCTGAAGGTGCGGCAGCTACTCAGTATATCAAAAGTACAACTGGGCATTTTGCGAAATTAAACACACGTATCATCTGTCTACTAGATCCTGTCATACTCAAAGATTATATAGATTTATCTACCATAGGTATAAATATATTGTATTAATAATTTTTAATCTCGAATCATTTCTTAGATGTAACACTCTATCCTTTAAATCGTGAAACTAATGATAAGAAAGAAAAACAATTACCAATTAAATGGCAAATACAAAAAGTAATGAGTGCTGAAGGTACTCCAGTGTCTATTTTTTATGCTGAAGTTAATACCCTTCAACTTGGTACACATGATTCCGAGAGTAAACGTCTTCCATTAAATTCAACACTTTGTCAATTAGAATTTCGATGGAAAATTAAAGTAATTTTTTTCCAAAAAACAAATTTACAATAATTTTTTTTCTATCATTAGATAAACGATCCTGAATATGAAGAAAATATTGTATTACTGTCTCAACCATTCGGAATTTGTTCTCATGCACAATATTTTCCAAAATTTGTTGCACAAATATTTCTCCATGAAATGAAACAAATTTTAAATCATGTTTGAATTAATAATCTATTTAAATAGTTTTCATATATATCTCGTTTTCTTATTAGCAAAATACAACAACAGATCCTAATATAATTACTGAATTTATTCGTCGATATTATACACGTATGACCGGTGTTGAACTCACTGATCATACAAATCGATACATACGAGAAGTATTTGCTAAAGCAATTGATGGTTAGATATTTTAGAAGAAAAAAAATTTATGTATAAATATCTATATTTAGATGTCAAGAGTACACGAACAATGAATACATTAGATAATACATATGAAGTTCGATGAAATTTAATTTTAATAAGTTAATATTTTTATAATATATATTAATAGGATTTATTAGCGAAAATGATAAGTCAAATTGATTTTTTAGTTCTACATCCAGTTTTATCATTGATGTATGATGATAGGTAAAATAAATTTTTTGTATTATTTTCATCTATAACTTTTTGTTTTTCTTCATAGTCTTTTTCTTGGTATATGCAACAGTACGGAAGTAGATAAAATGTTGAATGGTACTCGAGAAGAACCTCATCTATTATTACGTTTTAATACTCTTACAAATCATCAATGGAATTCAAATGCTATTGTTCAATTTATTATTCATGATGGTAAATCGAATGTTTTCTCTTATTAAATATGATTTGTTTTATATGAATAGGTAATTTAAAGCGGGCAAGCTTTGATACAAAAACATTTGCGAATGAAATGTGTCGATTGATTTGTGAATCGATGAGTGATAAAATCAAACCAGCTAAAGTTTTATCTACTATGTCACCACGTATTTTTACGGATTTTCAATGGTATTTTCGTAAGTTATTTATAATTTCATATAAATATGAGGAAATATTTTTCTATTTGAATATAGATGAAGAATTATATCGATTGAATAAAATGTCACTACCAAGTAGTGATTCATATGATCCATTATTACCTATTCTTTGGATGACTATGTAAGCACCATTGATAATTATTCTCTTTCTTGTAAAGAAGAGTCCAGTAAACATAAATTGTTTGTTCGATTGTATGTCCGCAGGGTCAAAAAAACATCGAAAACTGATTTTTCCAATAAGACATTTCTTGAGGTATTTCGATGCGGGGAGTTCGAATCTAAGGCCTGTTGGATGACCATGGTAGGGGGTGGGTGGGTGTGGGTGAAACATCGAAAATCAATTTTTCACGGCTTTCATTCGTTTTTTTCAGTAAATGTGAAGAAAATGCGTTTCTACGAGAAAGAGCAAAGCGAGTCCTCGGACGAGCGTTACTTGTTTGTTAAAATGTGATTATATCTTTATTTTAGGAGACAAAATGATTCTAATAATCCTCCACAAACAAGTACTGTTTCTAATAATAGTATTCAACGAAAAAAAAGAAATTATTCGGATTTATTACCAACTATAGAATCTGTGTCATCGGAAGTTCGACCAATTCCTATAAATGTTATTGTACATGTAAATAGTATAGATGATAATTTATTACAACAAAATACTTCCTCGAATGATTTTCATCGTTCTATGATTCCTCATTCTCGTAAGATGATAGGAATTATTTTTTGTTTAAAAATTCATTTTTACTTTACATTTAGGTATTGATGTTAAGGTGGGAAGAGGTGAGAAAATCGATCAATCAGATAATCCAAAGGGTGCTAAAAAGAATCGACAATGGGTGGTTGAAATGCCTGACGATACCGATATATCTCCTGCAGTTATATTTAGTTATTTAAGTGAAAAATTTCGTAATCTACCTGATAATCAAAATGAACATGCATCTTCCAATAATATTCATCGAGCAAACCAAGGACAAATATCTTCATCAAATATGATATATTGTAATGGTTCTAAACGTATGAAATCACCTATTAATAATTCTTCAAATATACCTTCTGAAGTAAGTTATTTGTTTTTTGATATAGAAAAGATAATGTAATTATTTTTATATTTAAATTTAATAGATTTCAAAGGTTGATTTGGATCCAGTAGCTAATGTTGGTCTCAACAATACACAAAATCAGATACAGATTAAACAGGAACCATGTGATGTTGATTATGCTATTTTAACAGATACAATGTTAGTGTAATTATTTTGAAATACATTTACTCATAAATATTATATAATAAAGAACTAAAATTGTTTGTCATGAATTTTATAGGGCGATATCTTGATATTCATTTCAGAGATCGGTTAATTAATTTATTAATTAAGACACTTGATACGAATCTAAAGTCTTAAATCAGTTAAATTCTCTGGCAAGCTAGTCATTCGACCTTTGTTTATCCAAGAAATTTTTGTTAGGAAACAATAATAACATATTTTTGTTCTAGATTCGTTTTATTCGAGAAATAACTTGCATTTATTGTCATATTAAGATTTTTATTTTTATCTACTTGCTATTCTGTATCGATACTTCTAACATACGTAATACATGAAGTTAAGTCAATGATTGCAAATATTAAAATATCACAACTTCGTTTTAGTAAGACTAATTATCAAATAGTATTTATACGAAAAAAAACAAATTGAATGTTGTGAACGATATCAATACATGGCTCTAGTAGAAAGAGGAAGAGTAGACTCATTTGCATCGCATTGAGTATATTGCAATCAATCAGGATACAACAGAATCCATTAGAATCATAAAATCTTTATTTACGTTTGTTATGTTTTTAAAGTACTGTAAGTCTGAGCATATACGACAAACTAATTTGTTTGCTTTACTTATTTATTACTATCTGGAAGACGTACATGCTAAATCGAACAAATTTTTTTTCTGTTTTATAGAGAAATACTCCAAGTTTTATTTATGCTTAAAAATATTCTGATCTATTAAAAAAGAAAAAATTTCTATTTTCTACTAAAGATAAAATCATAGATTTTGGATTTCTATAATATCATTCGATTCGCGTCTTCTTTTATTTTCTCAGTTTTTTGAAGTAATTTATTTGCAACCTTTGACTTTTCGCCAATCTATACGACTTCTTCATGACTTCACAGAGAGTTTCCAAAGTACCCAGGCAGCCACAGTTGAGTTTTAGTAAGGTACTTTATAAGTAGTAAGACGGAAAACACATAATACTGCCCGAAAATTTTTTGAAGTAACTCATTTTGTAGAGCTTTTTTTTGCTGACCATTTTGATAAAAAGAAATTCTATTTTCATCAAGAAATGATGGTGCTAGAATTAAAATACCGAAAAAGCTCTACAAAATGGAATATATCAAAAAATCTCTATATAGCTTCGTGTATTTTGTCGCTGTCTTTAGATGAAAATACTCGCGAAAAACGCCAAAGTTTGTATTTAAGTGGATAATGCTAGATTTATGAATAAAAACTTGAAAGATTTCTCTTTAAAATAAAAATAATTTATTTGATTTGATTCAAAAATGACCGAGATATTTAATTTTCTTTGTTTTTGTAGATGAATTTCTGAAGATCGTCTTTAGTTATAGATTATATCATAATAAAATAAAAAATTCAGTTTTATGATTTCTATTCAAAATCTAGATAAAAAATGTAAGACTTTATATATATTCAACCTTGAGACATTTCATATTGTTGAACTCCATAAACTTGTCTGAAATTTTATAAAATTACACAAATTTGTTGAATACTAAATGAATGGATATGGTACTGCACATATAAATAATTAAATACAATTATTCTGAATGTATTCTATTTTAACAAAAAAAATTCAAGAAATAATAATAATAAATATTTTTCAAATATAACTTTGTACTTATCGTCTCTATTAAGAACGATTCATTTTTATAATACAGATATGATGTGCAAATGAAAATAAGAATCATCGCATCCTAATTCTAATCATAACTGTTGTATTACATAACATGAACAATGTAACAAATTTCAATTAGATTAAAAACTAATTCTAACAAGAAAAGAAATAAGGATCAGTTGTATGAAAAATAACTGATATTTCGAGGTTTTAATTAACAAAACTTGCAACAACAATAAGAAATACGGTAAAAAAACCTATTTTATATTGTAAAATTTATACTATTTGAATTTCGTCCTTGATGAATCTAAAAGAAATGTTTAGAAAAACGACAACGATAGTGCATATTTTACAATGAGGAATAGATCTTTTAGTGTATTTGTTATTTTTAATTCTAAATATTGAACCTATCTTAAGCATGTATCGAATTATCAGTCTTTTTTTGATATTATCTACCGAAATGGCTTTTGCTTGTTTTCTCGCTGTAAGTAAAAATGACCATGATCTTATCAATTGCCAATACAAAAATAAACGATTTGAATAATTTTTTTATACAAGGACTAGCGGTAATCTTAGGTCCTGTGATCATCTTCAATTGGCGTAGATATGAATTAATATGAAATATTTACTGAAAAAAAACTGCTCTATAAATTTAGTTGGAAAGAAATTGTATTATAATCTTATTTAAATATTACTTGAGACGAACATGATAATATAACAAAGTTTAAATGACTCGTACGTTGGCAATTTCTAGAGTTATTCCGCGAATTGTAGTATTATTGCAGCAATAAATAGAAAAGAAAAGAGTATTTTTTTATTTTGAGTAATTCTGACGTCATTTAAATGACAAAAGTACATGAATTAAGAGCCACTTATACGGAAAATCCTTATCAATGTTAATTATGTTGGTAGAAACTATATATAAATGAAACCAAAACACAAAATTTCTTGGAAGAATAAGCTAACATAACGACGGTAGTCGCGTCACGACCCATATTTGCTCTCTTTTCTATTAGTAGAAACAGCAGGAGAGAAAAAAAAACGAATTTACACTGTCTCCTTTATTTTTCATGCATTGACCTTCTAGTGAAAAAAAAAGACAATTATCGTGAATATTTTTTTGTTCTTCTCTAATCAACTTAAGGCAAATTTATCTGTATATATAATTCATTTAATATAATCATTAACCACTTACTCGAAATTATACCACTAATGGCTATATCATTACATTATACAGAACGATCGAATTCAGGTGATATATATATATAGTTTTCATATCATTGTTGTGATTAAATCGTTTTTTGTATAGTTCCGGATCTAAGGCAAATCAGTCGTACAGATTCAGATGAACATGATTTTTTATCACCGAATGAAGCCTATAGAAATATTGATATTTTTACTTTTCTGCTACTTGCTGGTTCGTTTACAGATTCGTTTACAAATTTATGTCGAAGAAGGTATTAAAATCATGATTATAATTAAATTGTAAATATTTCTTTTTGCTTAGCGTACAAAAAAAAGGATGGAAAGAATTATTTATTGAAATACGAGATGGTTTAAATTCAGATAGCAAATCATTGGAGAAGCGATTCATGCTTAATCGATTCATTCAATTGAATTTTGAAGTATGAGTCAAAAATTTATATCATTTTTCTATATCAACTTTCATGGTTATGTAGGATTTTAAAGAAAAAATTCGACAAATCAATGAAGAAATTGATAATCATATGTCTGATATTCCAATAGATTGGGCTAATCATTATAATTCTGAAACAATTAATGAAACATACAGTCAAGTGATAGCATGCAGAAAGATACTAAGTCAACAACGCTTATTTTATATTGAACGTGGTAATTTACCTAGTTTACTAATTTTACAACAAGCGTAACGTTTAACTATATTTTTTAATTTATATAAAAATAATATGAATTTTTTTACTAATAGAATAACCGATCAATTTCTTCGGCTTATATTTCTCTACAATAGCAACTCAAATCTGCAACAAATCGATTGTTTAGAAGCGTTCAAAGTTCTATTTGATCAGTATGTCGTTTGCTATGAAATTATTCGTTTGCTTAATTTTTACTAATTAGTTCTCTGATCATTGTTGGTCAACCATCTGGTACTGAATGTTCAGCAGTTACGAAATATGAAAAAACTGACAAATATGTGACAATAATAAAAACACACATTATCTGTCTACTTGATCCTAATAGAGTTGACAAATATTTGAAACTTTCAAACAGTGGTAAGTTTATTTTTATGACAAATTTTAATCAGAATAATTTTATTTTCTTCAAAGGTGTTACACTCTATGCATTAGATAATACAGGAGGTCTTGAAAGAGGAATTCCATTGAATTTGATGTGGAAAAAACGAACAATTACCTATGATAAAAATAAAACGAGAACTTTTTTTTACATGGAACTCAACGACAAAGATCATATTCAATTGACAGAAATGAATTCAAAAAACAAACCTTTTCATAATCAAAAATTATGTCAATTAGTTTTTCATACTACATTTACAGTAGGGTTTTGATTTAGGTTATATATATATTAATAAGTTATACTATTTAAAACTAGGTAAATGAAACAAATATTCAATATTCTTCAACATTGAATTCATCATTGTTTGGTCTATGTTCACATGCAATGTTTTATCCAATATATCTTGCTCAAATTATTATTTCAGAAGTCGAACAAATGTGTAATCCAGTAAGTTATCGTTTTTTTCTCTATATATTAATTCTAATCAATTAATTAGATCAATTCAGAAAATCATGCTAGAACTTTTACAAAATTTATTAACTTATACCATAAACGCGTATGTGGAATTGAATTGAATTGTCATAGTCGTGAATTTATAGAGAAAGAATTACACAAGATCTGTACATTATCATATGAAAAAGTACATAATATTTCTGTTAATATTGAATTAATACAACGAAAACCATTTTCTTTCGATATCTATCAGGTATTTAAATACGTATTTATTTATATGTTACTTTTGATTTTATTTAATAGGATATATTAGAAAAATTGGTTGCACAAATTAAACTTATGAGCAATCATCCATTTCTTTCAATGTTGTATAATGATAGGTTTTAGTAATATTATTCTATTTATTGAATTTTTTCATATATATTCATTTTATAGACTTTTCTATGGTATATGTAGCGATACAGTTGATCATGGATTAAAAGGTAACAGTAGACAACCTCGATTATTAGTACGATATAATAAATTAGAAGATCAAGTAAAAAATCAAAAACCGGATATTATTTTTGTTATTGACGATGGTTTGTAACATTGATATTTTTATTTTAAATAAACAAGTTTCATATAGGTAAATTACGAAAAGCTTGCATAAATCATAAGAATCTTGCTGATGAAATGTCTAAATGTTTCGATGAAGCAACAGTCAACATCGAAACACAATTGCAAGTATTGAACTATGATATAAATTTTTCATTTAAAAATTTTAGTTGGTATTCTGGTAAGATAATATGATATTATCAACGATAATTGTTATATGTTTTCTTTTGTGTCAATAGATTCACGTTTAAATTCTAATAATATGGTTAAAACTGATTGTGAAACAATATTTTATTCATTAGAACTTCTTCTTAAAAATGCAATGTAATTATAAGGTTTTTTTTGTTTCTTTGCTCAATATGTTCATATTTGTATTTTAGACAAAACAGCCGTTATTATCGACAAGTGCCAATGCCAAGCGTTGAATCAGATTCACAAACATCAACTGAACAGTTTTGTTCACTTCATACAATGATTGTTTCTTTAGAATTATCAGGAAATGAAGATTTAAGAGCTGAAGCTTTTACTCATTTACGAGATACTTTGTGTCAATGGTGTGTGAATCACGGTATTCATGGTTCCTTAAGTTTTCTTCCAGCAATAGATTCTCCCGAGTGGCCTGATATCAATGATACATCATCTATATTACCTCAGTAATAAATTCTACATTGACAAAAATTTGTTAATAATTATATTTTTTACGGTGATAAAATGTGAATTTTTTTATAATAAAAAATAAATTTTTTTCAATAATAGATTGTTTATCTATAGTCCCTTATACGTCAGAAAAATATGTATTATTCATTATGTTTATCAGAAACAAATAGTTGGTTTTTTATTCTATTTTTATCAGTTCCTACTTCTAGAGTTATTTCAATTCTCAGTATCATGTTTGCATAAACTACGGAGTATAATAGGCGGGAGAGGACATTTATGTTTTTCATAGCAACATAAACCTATCTGTTATCTTTTATGGCAAAAAGATAAGTCTTACTATAGTGAGTAATGGAGACACAACAAATGGACGTTACTATCGCACCTGGCAATTTCCATGTTATCGCGGAATCAACAAAAAAAATGAAATATTTTTTTAAAATAATTGGAGGAAAAAAAACTGTTAAAAAATTGTTTTCTATTATTAGTTAAAATATAAGAATTTTCATCGGAGTACTGAAAACATTGAAATTTACAACAAAATTACTCAAGTGTTACATTAAAAATACAGTTAAACCGGTGAAAATCTAGTTAATTTTTGAAAAAAAACTTATAACGCACAAAAAAAGACTCCACACATTGTGTCATGCGGTATGCCATCACCTATATTTTCTTTGTTTCTACGAAAGACTAAGCACAGAATGAAAAAAGAAAGAATAAAGAAAAAAAACCTTTCTTGTTTATTACCTTGTGTTTTAATCGTTTTTATTTTAAAAAGAATTGTTTGTAAGACTTGACAATTAAAAGAAAATTTTCTTATCTAGTTATTATATAGACAAAATTCAGATTAATCCTCAAATTATGTACACTAAGTATCCCTCAAGCAAACGATTAAAACGAAGTAAAACAATTTCATTTTATCTGCACTTATTTATCGTTTTCAATGATTTTAGACACATCACATATCTTCACTCATACAAGTTCAAGTGATGTATACAGTAACCTTGATTTTCTGACAGGAGCTATTAATGCTAATGATCCTCTTCTATTATTATTATTATCTGGTCGAATAACAAATAGTTCATTTTCGGATTTATATAAAAGAAGGTAAATAAATATCGCGTTATCATTTTTAGGAAAAAAAAACGACGCAAATTATTTTAGTAAACAAATTGGATGGGAACAATTATTTATTGATGAAAGAAGTAAATTAAAATTAGATGAAAAATCTAAAATCAAACGAATTATGTTGAATCGATTAATACATGCATGTTCCAAAGTATTTTAAATATTAATATTAAGTATAAGAAAAAATCTTTTATATATATATTGATTTAGATTTCAGGAAATTTTGATCAACAAATTCAACTATTAATTGAAGAGATGAAAAATCAAATGTCAGATCCTATATCACCAGAACGAGATCATTATATTCGTTTAAGATTATATGAAGAAATAAAAGCATGGGTACGAACACAATGTGAACGACGTTTATTTTATAAAGAACAGGAACAGTTATGTAATTTACTCACATTACAAAGACTGTAAGTATTTGTTTTCTATTCTAAATGATATCATTATTTTTTATTAATAGTATGACTGATCAATTTATCGAACTTATTACTTCATTTAATCAAAATCCTCATGTTTCGCAGTTAGAATACCAAACAGCTCTTATGGAACTTTTCAAACTGTACGTACTTTCTTTATATCATTTTTTCTTCTTCTTATACTATCTATTGATTAGTTCATTGGTTATTGTTGTTCAACCGTCGGGTACAGATTGTATAGCGGCCACTAAATATGAGAAAGTTGGCAATAATTTCTTGGCTAAAGTAAAAACACGTATTATCTCTCTATTAGATCCAACTAGAGTCGATAAATATTTGAAAATATCAGATATTGGTATATTTAATTTTTTCAAAAAGTATATTTTTTTAATACATAGACATATTTAATATATTTTAAGATGTTATACTTCAACCAAATGACAGTATAATAGATCCTGATGGCGATAGACAATCACCTCTCGCATGGACAATAAGAAAAATTATGACAACTGAAAATACTGAAAGAACATTTTTATATGCTGAATTAAAAGAAAATGATTTTATTAAGTTGACAAAATTGAACGGTAGTCGAAGACCTTTATATAATAGAGAATTATGTAAATTACAATTTGAAACAAAATTTGAACTGATAAACAATATTATACCGATTGAAGTATCTGTTAGATTTACTTCACAATTATTTGGTTTATGTTCACATTCGAAATATTATCCAAAATATTTAGCTAAAGTATTTATTGCAGAAGTAGATGAAATACAAAAAAATGTAAATTCAATATATTATATATTTACGTAATTCATTGAAATAATCTTATTATGATTTAGATTGATCTTAATACGCATATCAATGTTTTAAAAGGATATGTTTTTGAATTTCATAAACGTTGTACTAGTGTTGAAGTAAAATTACATACTCAACAATTCATTGTACAAAGTTTACAAGAATTTTATGAAATATTTAAACAATCTGCATCATCTCCTACTGCACCTGTAATGTTCTTCTCTTGGAATATATATGAAGTAATTTATTAATTATTATCATGATCTTATTGAATATTTGCCATATTTTAATAGGATGTTTTGATAAAATTATTCAATCAAATTAAATTTTTAGCAACCCGCCCATACCTTGCAATGATGTATCATGACAAGTATTATCGATTTCTTATCTTTTTACTATATTATGTATATCCTATTTTTGTAGTCTATTTCGCGGAATAAGTAGTGATACCATTGATGAGAAAATAAGTCAGAATATTTCTAACAGATCTTCGATATTATTACGATTTCAAATATTTCATGAGCAAGATCCAGCAAAACCTCCAAATATTATTGTTGTCAAATATAATAGTTTGTTGAATAATTATAATTGTAACTTAGAAAAAAAAACAGTTTCGTTTCTTTTTTGTATAGATGTATTAACTCGAACATCTATAACTCATGATTATTTTATTAATGATATGTGTAAATGTTGTCAAAAAACAGCAGAAAATGATGTAAATTCTTTAGAAATATTTAATGATGATAAGACTCTTCCTTTTTACATGTTTCATTCCTATTATGGTAAGATAATAGAATACTCTTCAAATATATTTAATTCTTTTTTTCTTCCAAACAGATAATGGACTGACTCGAGATAATTTAATTCAAGTTGATGATAATACAATGTTTCATGTAAATTCCATGTAAATAGAATATTTTTACTTCTTAACCTTAATAACTTTTTTTGTATTTGATAATAGACAAAATGATCAATGTCAATCAACTGAAGAACAAAATCTAATACATAAATTTCATTTGTCAGCACAATTTACAGGAAATAAAGATTTAACTAACAAAGCTATTTCATTTCTACGTGAACAATTCATTTATTGGTGTAGAAGTCAAAATATAACTGGTACTTTATGTCAGAGTTCAATGGAACAAGAGACAGATTTATCTGATACCAATGAAAGACATCTTTTTGATGAAATTCTATCTCATATTGAACTTGATGAATTTTTTTCAGGAAAATAATCTTTTTTTGTTTTGTTTGTTTTGTATTTAAATAAAGAATGTTCAAAAAAATCAAATATAATTATCATAAAAAATGACGATGAGAATTATTTTAATTGTAATATTCATTTTTTAACTAAATGTTTTAGTCCTTGAAGAGAAATGTCATTTTGTCGTGTTCTGCTACTAACATACATCTCTCAAGGTGATGAGACAAGGTTGAATCTCTTATTGTTGTTTGAGTTATAGACAGTTATACATGATTCTCGTCATTGTAAATCAACACGGCATAATATTCGGGTTTTCGCCGAAAAAAAGATATATGTAAACTCGGAAAAGAGACAAAAAAGAATGACACACTTTTACTTTTTTTTTGGTTGGTTATTACATGAAAAGGTTTTTTTTTGTTGGGATGCACTTCACAAGGAAGCATTTTCACCGAAAAAACCGACTTGTAAAATTATTCCCATAGGCTGTCTCATCATCATACTATAAGTATATATAAAAGCACTAAAATAAAAATCTATCATATTAGTTCAAAGAAAAATTATGGCAACAAATTTAAGTATCTCTAGAAAATCATTTAAACGATCGGGTATGTCTTACTCGGTATAATAATTTAATTAATTATAAATTTATGTCATGTTAGTTTCTATAACAGAAAGGGAACAAAGTACTACGAATAAAAGTTTTTCTGGTGTAGTCGAATGGTCAAATGATCAAGAATTTATATCACCATATGCAATACATACACAAGCAATTGGTCTTTTATTTTGTTTAATTACAAAATATTTAATTAATATATCTTTTACAACTTTATATCATCGAAGGTAAAGAGTATATTTGTAAAATATTTTTTATTTAAAATGAATTGATTTTTAGTCTGAAAATTAGTTGGTTAGATTTATTGAAACGTGATCGACGAAATTTAAAATCAAATATACATTCAGTTGAAAAATGTTTTATGATCAATCGACTTGTTGCAGAATGTGCAAAAGTATGAATGATGAAGAAACTGAAATTAATAAATTTTCGAATTATTTCAAAGGATCGGTATAAATTTGCTCAACAAACAGGAGAATTATATGAAGAAATTAAAAGGTGTATGTCAAGTACACTATCAGTATCAACATTGGTAATTCATATTGAATAAATCAAATATAAAATATCTATTATTTATTCTTTTTAGTCATTAGACGATTTCTATAGTCAAGTACAAACTTGGAGAATTTTACAATGTAAACGACGTTTATTTCATACTACTCATAATGAAGATAGTCGTCCACAAAGTTTACTAGCCTTACAAAAAGCGTAAAAATTCTCATATTAACTATTATCATTTATATAAACTTCTTATTTCTAGTGCTAGTACGCTTTATTCTCAGATACTAGAGCGATATCGAGTAAATCCTACTATAGAAAATGTGAATCATTTAAAACAGTTACTTCAACAGTAAAAGACTATCTTTATTTTCTTTTTGTAAATTTTAGTTAATTTTTGCTTCTAGTTGTTTTATTACTGTGACTCAACCATCTATTCCAGAATGTGTTGCAGCTACAAAATACGAAAAAACACGCAATACATATACGGCTAAATTATTTGCACGTATTATATGTTTATTAGATATCGATACAGTTAAAAACCATTTGACACTTTCAAGTGCTGGTAAGAATCGAATTAATTGTATAAAGAAAATTTCATTTTTTTCGAAAAAATAGGTGTTAGACTTTATCCATTCGATCGTAATCTTGATACAATAGGTGAAGAACAATTGATACTTGACTGGCATGAAAAAACAATTATGGACGCTGAAGAACAAATAAAATCAGTTCTATTTGTTGAACTTGAATCAATTGAATTAAAAAAATTAGATATGCGAAATGCACGACCTTTATATAGTGCTAAACTTTGTCAATTACAATTTCAAATTAATATTAAAGTAAATTAATTCTATTTATTGATATTAATATATAGAAATAAATTTAAATAGATTAATGATCTTAATTTGGAAGAAACTTTTACATCTCTTTCACAACCATTCGGTCTTTGTTCACATGCTCAATATTATCCTGAATTTGTTGCTAAAGTACTACTTCATGAAATTGAACAGATCGTACAGCCTGTATAATAACACATATGATTTATATATTCAAAAAAGCTCAACAATTGTCTTTTAGAATGGTTTTGCAATTCAACCAGATACTGTTATTGATTATATTGAACGATATTACATACGTATTTCAGGTGTACAAATGAAACATCATACTTCACAATATATTTTGCGCAATTTACAAACAGTTTATGGTTTGAGAGATACTAAAAAGTTTTATTGAAATGAATGTTACTTTTTTAGATCGACGAAAATCGAATCAAAACGTTATGTCGCATGATATCTATGAAGTAAAATTTATTTTTTTTCGAATGAAATAAATGAAATTCTTTTTTTTTGTTAAGTCACTATTAGCTCAGATAATTAGTCAAATGGAAATGTTTATTGATCATCCATTTCTTTCTATGATGTATCATGATGGGTAATTCAAAGTTTTTTCTTTTTTGTCATCAATATTTTTTACTATTTCTTTATAGTTTATTTCTTGGTATTTGCGACAGTGCACTTGATCAGCAATTACATGGTACTCGAGAAGAACCACATATATTACTTCGTTTTAATTCGCTATTAACACATCAACCAACTCAACATGCATCTGTTCGATTCATTGTTCATAATGGTTTCTATAGCTTGTTAAATTTTTTTTTTGCTAAATTCAATTTTTTTTAAGGTCAATTAACAAGAGCTACTTTTCATACAAAAGCATTTATAGATGAAATTTGTCGAATGATTTGTGAAGCTAATTCGAACAGAGCAAAGAAGATTCGAGTTCTATCCGAAACATCGGATCATAATTTCTGTGAATTTAATGAATATTTTAGTAAGTGATAAGATAATATATATATACATAGAACATTAATTAAATATCAATCTAGGTGATGAATTATTTCGACTTCATACACCAGCATCTCCACTGAAAGATACATATCAACCGTTCATTCCTGTTCTATGGAATACAATGTAAGCCAAATTTTCTTTACTTTTGTAAGTCTAGTTTTACATATGGTAGGAAATCAAGTGTAGATCCAACAGAACAACAGCTAAGTAAGTGTAGATTAAATTCTGTATGATTATAAATAAGCTATTTTAATAGATTCGCCTTCAATGAACTTAGAAACAATACCAATGGAATTATCTGAAGCAAGCACATCATCAATGAATGAAATTCAAAGTAAGATATAGCAACTTCTTCGTTTGAGAATATAAAAATTTTGTTGATCTAGTTGATCTATCAAATGCAGTTACAACTTCTGATCAGCCGAGAGAATCAAATAGAAAAATTACCATTCAAACTGATATGCTTGTTCATCATATAGTAGAGAAACTTTCTGATTTATTGATACAATCTTCGAAAGATGGATTTTCAACTCCTATTCATATGAGTAGAGCATCTACACTATTATCATCCGTAACGGAAGGAAATCGAAATCAACAAAAACAACTGTTATCTCATTTAATATATGACTATTTTCAATCGCAAACTTATATTGAAGTTTCAACACAAGTAATTCAGAAGATTATATAATAAATTTTATTTTTCTATTTTCTTCTAGACTTCAACACCTACATCAGAAAAGTCACCGGCTAGTATAGTCGATGATATTTAATCTTGAACATTCCTAGGAAATTTTTCATTCATTACAAATTCATATTGAAAGACTATGATTGCAGATATTACTTATGTATTTATATTTTATTCCAATCTATCATAAATAAATGACAAGATTATGACATTAATATCAGACTAATAAAGAAGATGAATATTAATTAATATAAACATTATATTTCTACAAGAACTTATTATCATAAAATAACAAAACAATATATCACATCTCTAATTATATGGAAAATAGGAAGAAGTTTAAATTTGATGACTTCAACATTATAGAATTTCTTACAAATATTATTCGAAAAATTTTATCTTATATGATATTTTAGTTGTATAGACTGGTCGAAAATGAATGATTCATTATAGCTGTATTACCTGTATAAAATGATAAAAACCACATATATCTCTCATAGTCTTATCAAGAGATATTTAAAAGATGATTGTTATTTTGAGTGTGTAGGCGAGACCGTGGGTGGATATGAGTATGTGGGTGTGGGTGGATGACGGTATGGGCGAGGGTCCTAATTCACATCTATTGTGTCTGTGAATGGTGCAAAGTTCTACCCATAAAACTTGTTTTAGTTCGTATTTTATAATACGGTTCAAATATGAATTCAATTTTGATTTGTCCTTATTAAAACAACATAACGAAAAAATAAAAATTATGCATTGCATCATTTAATACTATTAAAAAACAATTTCGTATATTTTTTAGCATATAAATGTATATATTCATTGACAAAAGATTCTCGTTTTCTTTTTTAAAGAGATAACCGTTGTTTAGTATGTAATATTATTTTATAAATGATAACTACTAAAAATAAATACTTAAGATGCAACGAAAATTTTTTTTCTAGATTAACTTTGAAATGTTTAATGATGAGATTAAAATACTTTGTTTTTTTTGTATGTTGGAAATTTTTCATCAAGGTAAACGTTATTACCGACATCGGATTATATGTTGAAAAAAATTCTGTCAGGTAAAAATGTATAGACTGCGTCACAATAACGTGACGCATTCAAAACTTCACTATTCGCCGAAGCTGCGACAACGGCGCAATACTGACGTTACCGATAGAAAAAAAACATGTTCTTAAATATTTCGATTTTTCTTTTATTTGTTTTCGGTTGGAAAGAAAAATCTATTCTCTTTTTATGAGTCACTGTCATGTTGTGGCATACAATATATATTCTACGATGTATCTTGATAAAAAGAATCAGAATAAATACGACAAAATTATTGTAATAGTATTACATGACGAAACGAGGTCAAACAGATGCTCATTCAATATCGCATGTAAGTCTAATTGATTATCAACCAACTTCCTTAATTAAAATTCGTATAGATAACAACATGCATTAATGATCTATGGGCAAGTCATCAAACTTTAGCACCAAATGAGTATTCATTATCTACCATTGGTATACAGAGTTTTTTAGTACGCTGTGTTGAAAATGAGCTTTTTGTCAAATATATTTATCCAGTACTCAAGAATGGACTTAAACCAAAGTAAAACTTACCACACATTTGTTTAAATTATATATTTATTCAATATTTTCATAGAGATTTTCTTAATGGACTTAATAATATGGAAAAAGCAATAGAAAAAAAATATCAAATAAGTATTGAACGATATATTGTTGTTGCTCGACTACGTAAATATTTGGAAGAAGTATAAATATATATATACTATTATCAAAAATATATTTTTAAAAAATTTACTATAGAATGAGAGCAGATTTCAAGATATTCTAAATGAAATTCAAATACATCTGCAACAATGTATGAGCGAACATTCATCTACATCTGAACTAGAAACAGTATGATATTTACTAAAGTTGATGTAAATTCTAAATTTATATTAAATAGCTTGATATTTATCAACAATTTGAGAAACGAAACCATGCTGCTCTTAAACTTCATTATATATATCGTATGCGACGTTTTCAATTTTACAATGGTAATAATATTGGACAACCTATCAATAGTATTACTCTACAAAAATGGTAATTGGAAAATATTTATTTGTCAAATTAATTATTTTATTAATAGGATTCAAACACATTTTCAACTGTTCTTACGTCAAATTACGCTGAGTTCCGATGCTCGATTACTGACAGAATTTTATACGTTACTAAACAAGTATTGCATCATAGACAAAGAGTATAAGTTAAAATATACGATTTCTCTTTTGTAGTTCATTTTTTATAATTCAACAACCTACTCCATCCATTGCAACACACACTCCATTAAAGGAAAATGGTATTACTGCAATGTTAAACTGTAAAATTATATGTCTATTAGATAGATCCGATCGTACTATAACTATTCATAATATAAGTAAATATAATCAAGATAGTTTTAGTGATATTTTACAAATGTATTTTAATTTTTAGTACCTAAAGTTTGTTTTATAAAACCATTAAATAGAACAGAAGAATCTGATCGAGTTTGTCAACAATCACCAATAGAGTGGAGAAATTATTCAGTTGTTACTACTTCCAAAACTCGGATGAATTTTTCTCTTGCCGAATTCTCGGAAATCGTTCTAAAAGAACCATCAAATATTCCAGATGATCAAAAATCGTCAACAAGAAAAACAATACATTATGCACAATCCATATACCGTATTGATTTTTATATTGAAATTACAGTAAGAACATTTTTTTCTGATGCAATGAAAATCAAATTTCATTTTCTATAAAGGTTCGTTTTCCTCATCTTTCATCACCTTATCGAACAGTTATAGTTGTATCTTCATCTCCATTTGGACTTGTAACAAATACATCACAAGCAACAGATCTTTTTGCAGAAGTATTTATAAAAGAACTTCAGATGTTAAATCAACCACCGCAATTAAATACAGCAAATAACACAAGTATTTCATTACCATTATCAACAAACTTAACATTTAATGAACTTATCGATAGTATCGAACGTTATTTCATATATAAAACTGGTATTTATCCGAAAGAATGGGTTATGGGATCTATTCGACAGAACCTAGATGCTGTCTATAGTAACTATTAACCCTTACATAAATGAATAATACACATTCTATTTAATTCTAGATAAAAACCAGAGTTCAACTGATAAACAATTTTACGTAAATATGTTTAATTTCAATATATGTATATATGTATTCTTTTTTAATGTAGAACCTTTTAGCTAAAATTCTCGCTCAAATTGATTTTATGTGTGAACATCCAGTTTTAATTCTATTCCATGAAGATGGGTAAAAAGCATGAAATAGAATTTTTTCTATAGATTTTCTTTTCTTTTTTAGACTTTTTACTTTTTCAGATATTGATCCAATGAATGAAATTTTAAGAAACATGTGTATTGAACATAAAAAACCTGTTTGTGCTATACGTTTTGGTTCGATACATAATATGTTGAAGTCTAAAGATATTGGAGTTCGTATTGATTACATAGAAAGTAAGAATTCTATTGAATTATAAATAATTCAACTTATTTTTAATTATTAAAGAACCTTTTACTAATATTCAACATTATCGATTTATCGAAGATAAATTATCCTATGAACTGGGTCTATTTATAACTAAAATAGCACATTGTGAAGTATCAAAAGCTAAACATATATTATCACATATTAATAAAATTGGTGCAAATAATTATTGTTGTGAATTCACACATATGGATATGTTTGTTAAACTTTATAACAGTAATATAGGAATTTATTTGTAATGATTTAATATAATTATTTGTATATATAGGTGATAAACTAAAGGAATTCTATACCGATAAAGAAAAATACCGTTCGATATGGATGAGTTTTGAAAAGTAGTTAAAAAAGTTTTTTTTCTTGTTGTCTTTATAAATATTTCTGTTTTTCGTATAGAAAAGATAGCTATAGGTCTGATGAACCTAATCAATCACAAACATCCAGTTCAACCCAAGTATGACATATATATTACATAAAGAAAACGAGATAAATATATTTTCTTTTAATTGTAATCATAGGATGATGGAAAAGTTCATAATACATCAGCTAGTGGAAATAATTGTATGTCATTAATCATATATTTTAAATTTATAATCGTATATTCATTTAGATTCCTTTATTTTACGTGATCTAATTAAAAATGAATATCATTCAATAGAACAGCAGCATAACGATGAATTGTATAATCCATCTGAAACTTTTCTGGATATACCATTATCGTCTCAAACACGTTTCTATAATCCTCAAATGAATAGTAATATTTTTTTTCTTGTAATATATATAAAAGCAAAGAAATCATCTTTTATAGCATATTTAAATCCAAATCCGGTGATTATTGTGATTTCATCGAGTAATCCGTGTGCAATATCGAATGATGATATTACCGAACTAGTGTCAAATAATTTTCCACAGTATGCTTCTGCTATTCAATCTAATCATATTCTTCGAGTCACTGATGATCCACTATTGAAACTGTTACCCGAGCCGTCTAATTTTTGTACGACTTCACAATCAATGTTTCCATTTATTGATCAAAATACAGTAAATCAAACTAATTTAATATTCATTTTCATTATGAATATAATTTTTTCTATATTTAGACCTGTGAACCTGATATTACAGACCCAACGAATTTTTTACAGTTTTCTTGATTTTTATAAACAATCAGGGAATACGTGATATTTGTAAAATTAGAGAATATTATATGATTAATTGTTTACTTCATCTTCGCTGTATATGTATATTTGTATACACTATTGTTATTTTCTTCAGATCAAATTTTTCTTTTATACCAGTACTAATGCCTCCAAAAACATCCAAACTTAAACGACCAGCAAGCCGTAAGATTTTTTCTCTTAAATAATTGTTGTCGATTTATTCATTCTTCGATTTTAGCATTATCATCATCAACATCATTATCATCGTCCCCGGTAACTTCTTTTAAGTTAAATATAACAAGAAACTATTTGACAAATACTCTTTAGGATATTCGAGCTGGTCTTTTCGACTGTTACAGCTTTTTGGCTCCAAATGAATATTCAAATAAAACATTTGGTTTACTTGCATTTCTTCTACGAAATTCAGTTGGTGAAATTAATTTCTCTTATATTATCGACGAAGCAGAAAAGAAAAGTCAACGAGATCATGATAAAAATGGTGAAGAAAAGTAAAAATAGAACTAAAATAAATTTCATAATTACACAATTTTTTATTTAAGACTAGCAAATGAAGTTGTAAAACTGCTAAAAGTAGAACGAGAGAAATTAACACCAAACGATGTTTCAATTGAAAAAGGTCTAATGTTAACTCGATTAATATCGTATATACAGGAGGTAAAATTTGTTATATAATCTTTCTTTATTAAATAAAATAGTTGTTTATTAAAGAACGGACAAAAATTTATATTACTTCTATCCGATATTCGAATGGATATGAGACTAAAAATGCTTGATACTTCGACAAATCAACCAATTTCATATCCTAATGTAAGTTTAGTTTTATATGTATATACATGCTGATTTAATTGATCTTTGTAGGATTTTCGTCAACGTGAACACGATTTTGATCATCGAAAAAATGCTCAAGATATTAGACGTCTTTTCTATTTCACTCATGAAGACTTAAAAAACCCACCAAGTTTAATTTCATTACAGAATAAGTATGTATATTTTAATAGTATAAACTAAATAGAACGAAAATTTTGTTGTTTAGAGTAACTGAACATTTAAATTATGTGATTGATTGTAAAATGCGATATGAATCAAAGTTTCGAGATACTGGTATTAGAGAATGTTTGGATATAATTAATAAGTAATTCTATTATTTTGATAAACAAACATAATAATTAATATTTATTTGTTTTAGTTCATTTATGATTGTTGATCAACCACATTGTGGTTTCAATTCAGCAACAGTTTATGAGAGAACAGCGCCTGGTGAATATAGAACTAAAGCGTCAGTAACTATAGTCTCATTATTACATGATTTTATGGAAACACATCCAAATTTAATCGAAATTCATTCTATTAGTAAATAGATATTTTAATATTAATTTCTATTTATATCACTGATTTTATTAAGGACCAAGTTTTCTACTATCATCCGATAAATATGAACTCGCAAATCCAGAACCAATGTCATGGAAGATTTGTGAATTACAAGCAAGTCCACATGATAAACCTCAACGGATACGATATGCTGAATTATCAGATCTTATTATTAAACAAGCAAATAAAAATGATAAACATGTACATTTTGCTCAAAAATTACATTCACTGCAGTTTAAGTTTGACGTTCAAGTATGTGTAAATATTTGTTAAGAAAAAAACAAGGATGTTTTCTTTATTATAGATTAATCTGGCTGAATATCGTTTTTCAAAAATTCATCAAATTTCATTGAGTTCTTCATTATTTGCTATTGCTAATCATCATTCTCAAGTTCCACGATTATTAACACGTGTTATCTTGAATGACATTCAAAGATTTACAAAAGTATGAAAAGTAATCATGTAAAATATTAAACAATATTATTTTCTTTAAGACTGAATTACCTGAAATTCGAACAATTATACATTATATGGAACGCTATTTTATTTATCGAATAGGTATTCCGCCGTGTGCACAAACTAGAGCATATCTACAAGAAGAATTAGAAAAGGCTCAAAGTAATTTATTAGTACTTTCAGATTTTTTTATACATACTTTGAATTTTAGAAGAAAGAATAAATTATCCAACATTAGAAGAACGTTTCACAGTATGTATTAAAATTAAAAAAAAACGTTATACTGATAAAATGAATCATGTACTAATACATAGTATAAATACAGTGAGGATGTTTCTTACATAGTTTTTATTTAAATTTCATAAGTAATATAAAAAAAATTTGAAAATTATTTTCGGCATTATCAGACATTACTTATTTGATAGAAAGGTTCATTTGAAATATCTGATCTACATATACTCGTAACTTAATATGATTAGTAAAAAAGATACGATGATTTTTACTTTTATAGCATGTATTAACAAGATTTTGTATTTTTTACTAGGATTTTCTTACATCGTATGTTCATCAAATAGATTTTATGGCTAAACATCCAGTACTTTCTATGATGTATACTGATAGGTATATTCTTATTCTTTGCATAACATCTTTGCAGCTCTTTTATTTATCTTATTAAATAGACTATTCCTTGGCATATGCAACAGTGACAAAGTAGCAGAAATTGTGAATAAATATTCGACTATGACTTCGCCAGTAATTGCATTTCGTATGAATAGTATTAAAATTAATTATGCAAACATTGCTCAAAAGTCGGTTGTCAACAGACTGATTCTACCTGATTCATGTGCTATTCGCAACAATATCTATAATCGTTCGTCAATTGAATTTTTCATTCGTTTCTTTTTTCATTAAGTTTAAACTTTTAGATCATAAAGGAACATCAGAACAATTAACACTCGATACCGCAAAACTTTCACAAGAATTAAGCAAACTTGTATTCATAGATCACTTAGTAGATGCCAGAAGTATAAAAGTTTTATCGAGTTTTAATGATAGAACAAATGCGATCGAATATAAATCTTTTGACAATTTCACTAAATATTATGGTAAGTTAAATTATTTAGATATGATAGATCATCGAATTGTAAAATTAACTAGATCCATCAATACATAAAGTTTCTCTATGTAAAGAAAGATATCAACCACTTGATGATCTGTTCAATATGTAAGTTTACATCATTTTATATAATGATTTTACTGTTCACATTTTCATATCAGTGCTAATGGAATGAGTCAGTCAACGATATCTAGTGGTGAAAACAATTCAAAAGATTCACACTTAACTATAACAAGTTAGACAAAGAAATATATTAATGCTAATCTATCTTTGTTATTAGGTACAACAACTTCAAGTTCAGTAGTAAGAACTACTCGTGCAGAGGTGAAAATTTTATAAAATTCTTTATTTAAAAACTATATTTTCCCTGTATAGAATATTAATACAAACAACATATCTTTACTTGACATCAATGACAATAATAATACAATTTTATCGCAACCTAATGCTGTGCTATCTCAAGCTCAAAAGTATCAAATCATAGCTGATTACGTTCTTTCAACTCCAGAGCTTCTTGCAGAAGTTTTATATAAATTAAATACACTTAATTTAGCTTCTACACCACAATCAGGATCACAACATTCATTGTACTCACAAATTCAAGATCAGAATGCTCCGTCACAGGCATATATGCCATTTGAAAATCATCAGTCGTGGTCACCGACTCTTTGCCAAAATAATCAAAATGCTCAATCACCTGCATATATACCATTTGAAAATCATCCGTCGTGGTCACAAACTCCTTGCCAAGATAATCAAAATCAATCACAAATTTTCTATCCGATTCTTCCAGCAGAGCATCAAGTTTTCAGTCAAAGTTTTCAAGTACAAACACCAGTTAATCAACAGGAGCAAACACAAAATATAATTTTCCCGGACGAAGTATCACTTATGATAACTCCTAATTCATCCGATAATGAAGATCAATCTGATTCAACACGATTGGGTTCAACGAATGTTTTTAATAATATCACTCGATCACTTTCAACAGACGTAAATGATGTTTCATTAGATCAGGTAAGACAATCATGATATAAAAAGAAGTGTATTAAATCGAAATAAATAATATTCATTATAAATTATCTCATGTGAATAAAAATAAAAATTGATCTATAATGCTTATACTATTAAATCAATGTAGTCATGAAAGTATCTATCGAAAACCTTTATTTTAATTACATAAATTTCATACTAGTTAAATAAAATAATATATAATTTTTTTTTCATTTAGATATTATCAACAATCGATGACGATTTTCTACCAGTACGACCAGAACGTCTTGATACACCACTAACGATTCATTTTCAATCATCTTAGTATAGACTATAAATTATGCTATTCAATTGCGTAAACATTTTTCCCCCATAAAATTAAAAAAATCCGTATTATTTTTATTCTTTTATTTTATATAATAAAACTAAATTGAAAGATTATAGCTTTTAAGCATATTCAGTATTACAAGCAATTGCATCAATAACAAAATTTCGATTATTCTAAATAATTTCTTATTGTTTGAATAGGCTAGTAGCATTTTATATCAAAACAACCAGTTTTTTTCAATCATAAATATTGACTACGTAACAAAATTCTGAGAAATTTAAGCATATATATAACTTAAAAACGATAAAATCATGCATTCTGTATTCAATCTTTCCGAGAAAATAGGGTACTCTGTACAATATTGACTCAGTAAATTTTAAAGCAACATACACCCATATTTTTTGTCTTTCTCCTTGCTCGTTCTTTGTTGTAGGAGAGAAAAAAACATTTTTTCTTTCGTCATGTAGTCGTCTTTATTTATATATTTACTTACTTTATCCTTTATCGTACTGTCTTTACGAATGAAATTTTCTTTTTTTGAAAAAATTCATAGTACAGACAGAAAAAATTGTTTTAAAAGTACGCGACGCGACGAAATGAAAATAAATACATCCTTGTTATTTCAACACATGTGAATATATGTCTGATGTTTATTCTGAATAATTTACTTCCTTTCGTCACAAAAATAATATAGGTAGCAGCGTGTGTATCTCATCTATATATATATATATGAATTAAGATATTCTAACATTAAACAATATTCATTAGCAACACAGTTAATTTATACATAGTTATCGATTAATTGGCTGTAAAATGAGTCTATTCAGGAAAAAGTAAAATGCAACTCTTATCAAAGTAATTTCGAAATATGTTTTCTATAAATATATTACTTCATTAAATATTTTCTAATTTTATTGAATGATAATAAAGAAAAATCTCAACAGATAATGAACAATGTTTTGTAATTACTTAATCATGTTACTGTACTTGGAATAAATCTACTTAATTAAAAAAATATGAATATGTAATTATGAAAATATGTGCAGACAGAATCACTTCAAAATATTTGTATTACCTAAAAAAACGCTATTAACCATGTTTGCAAAATGACTCATCATCGCGTCTCATTCAAAAGTAATATAATATTTAATTAAATATAATTTAATTTATTCATATTCAGAATATTCAAGTAATGTACTTTATTTAACAGTAAACAAAAATAGAATACTATTGGTTAACTTTTACAAAATTCAATACATATGACATCTTTTTATTCTATGATGGTGTAAATAATATTAATCATTAAAAAAATTGGTAAACAAACTTAATAAATCTAAATCTTTTCTGCTTATTATGTTGAATTAATCGTATTATATCGAATTGGTGACATTTGGTTTTGAACGATTTCTTAGCATATTATTTTGTAATTAAAAATTTATTTATGTTGAATGGATTATGAATGTAAAAGTCTTTTTTTTAATGTATGTAGTCATGACACGGCTTCATAATCTCTTTTATGATGAAGAAACTATTCGCCGAATGCATATTTATCCAAGAATAGTCAAGAGTAGTTTATTTACCTTAAATTGCCAACAATATTATATAGATTGTTTATTATTTTACAGTCTATACATCTATATATATATGATGAAAAGAATGACAGTTTTCAATACTTTCTGGCCAAAATGTTTGGTGAGTAAACAACGTTGTATGTAATTATTATTCGACAAAATTTTCTTGCTCGGAAGAATTGACTGTCCTGCGAAAATTTTCCATCTTGGTTTTTTTCAGTTCTCCCGTCTATTCTATTCTATTTTATTCTATATATATATATCTACTGTTTTTTACAAATTATTATTGATGGTGAAACGAGGTATAAAAAAATTGAAGAAAATATCGTTTTCAAAGTGTCATCATTTATTTTTTGTACCTGTAAAAAACCACATTCAATAATATCGATTGATAATATAATTAAACTAAGGTAAATATGATTTAAAAAATAAATTATGAAATACATTTGAATTTTTAAGACTTTATAGGTGACAAATAACAAAATGTTTTATAACTATTCATTTACAAATATTAAATATATTGAAGTATAACCGTATGTTTGTGGTGAGAAGGAATTCTTAATTATTATACTATAAGAATAGAGATTACAGTTATATGTGTGTTATTCAATGATTTATACCTTTCGATAGAGAATTCTTAATTTGTAAGTATTATTATACAGATTTAATAGTTAAGAAATAACTTTTTAAAAACAATGTTTTATTTAAAACTCTTGCTCCGATGGTTGAACATACATTTCTTAAATATGTTTTTTTATGAATCAGTGAAACCTTTTAAGGACAAATGTAGGAGACTTTCTTCCCAGACATTTCTTTTCTTCTTGTCATGATGACATAGTGAGTCAAATATTATTAAAGTGCGATGAGTAACACATTTGATCTGTAAAAGAATTAAACTATTATTTAGATTAAATAGCCATACAATAATAATCGTATTATGTAAGAATACGAATTTTTAACAGCATCATTTAAATTTTTTCGTCAGTCAAGTCATTCGTCAAGTTCTATATTGTATAGATAAAACTTAATCTATAGTAATGAATTTTAAGTCATAAAAGTCTATGGAAGAAAAGTTTACTTTATGATCCAGCAAAATTCTTCGAAATGAAAGTCGATTAATGTCAAATATATCCATCAAATTTTATTTTTTAGATCATTTTTTCTCATTATATTAGTAGTAATGTTTTCACGAAAAACAAAACTTAAACGACCAGCAAGTCGTAAGTTTTTTTCTCTTAAATAATATCTGTCGATTTATTCATTCTTCGATTTTAGCAGCACTAACAATATCATCATCATCATCGTCATCGGTAACTTCTTTTAAGTTAAATATAAACATCTATCTAACAAATACTCTTTAGAATACTCGAAGTGGCCTTTTCGAATGTTATAGCTTTTTAGCACCAAATGAATATTCAAATAAAACATTTGGTTTACTTGCATTTCTTCTGCGAAATTCAGTTGGTGAAATTAATTTTTCTTCGATTCTCGACGAAGCTGAAAAAAATAATGAAAAAGGGTAAAAATAAAATTAAGAAACAATTTTCATAATTCTACAATTTTTTATTCAAGACAAACAAATGATTTTGTAAGATTATTAAAAGAAAAACGATCGAATTTAACACCAAATGATGCATCAATTGAAAAATGTCTAATGTTAACTCGATTAATATCATCAATAGAGATGGTAAATTCTGTTACGTAATCTTTGTTTATTAAATAAAATAGTTGTTTATTAAAGAACGAATCAGAATTTATATCACTTCTATTCGATGTTCGAATGGATATGAGACTAAAAATGACTGATAATTTAAGAAATCAACCAATTTCATATCCTAATGTAAGTTTAGTTTTGTATATATATTACATGTTGATTTAATTGATCTTTGTAGGATTTTCGTCAACGTGAACACGATTATGATCATCGAAGAAATGCTCAAGATATTAGACGTCTTTTCTATCTCAATCATGAAGAAGCAAGAAAACCATCAAGTTTAATTTCATTACAAAATAAGTATGTATAGTTTTAATAGTATAAACTAAATAGAACGAAAATTCTGTTGTTTAGAGTAACTGAACATTTAAGTTATGTGATTGATTGTAAAATGCGATATGATGCAAAGTTTCGAGACACTGGTATTAAAGAACTGGAGAAAATAATCGGCAAGTAAGTATTTTAGCTGTTAATAAAACAGTATTGTATGATATCAATTTTAGTTCATTTATGATTACTGCTCAACCACTTTGTGGTTTAAATCCAGTAACAATTTATGAACGAAGAGGACCGGGTGAATATGGAGCTAAAATATCAGTAACTATAGTCTCATTATTACATGATTTTATGGAAACACATCCGAATTTAATTGAACTTTATGATATTGGTAAATAGATAATATCAAATTGATTTCTGATTTTGAATAATTTTTTCTATTTATTAAGAAACAAGTTTATGGCCACTATCACCTCTTTATAAACTTGATGAATCTCAAACACTTTCTTGGAAAACTTGTCAATTACAAGTAACTCCAAATGACAAACCACAAACAATAGATTATGCTGAATTATCATTCATTACTATACTACAATCAAATAAAACAAATACACGTATTCATTTTGGTGAAGTATTACATTCATTGAAATTTGCTATTAAACTTCATGTAACATTTATAATATATAGTTAATTAATAACTAAATCTAATTTTCTTATAGTTAAATTTAAGTGAATATAAACTTTCTAAAACTTATCAAATCCCATTAGAATCATTATCATTTGCTATTACTTCTCACAATAATCATATTCCACATATGTTAACAAAAGTTATACTTGATGATATCAAACGGTTTTCAAAAGTTTGTAAATTATTTTATAGAAAATGATATGATTATTATTGTTGCTTTTCTAGGCTTCTTCAACTGATGTTAAGGTTATAGCAAGCTTTATATTACGCTATTTTAAACATCGAACAGGCGTGGTACCTTATCCATTTCTTGAGAAGTACGTTGAACATGAATTAACAAGAGCTCTAAGTAATTAAATCATTTTCTCTCGAAAACTTTCGAAATGAAGCTGTATTTTTTTCTAGATGAACGAAGAAATTTTCAATCAATGGAAGATATCTTTATGGTATGTATAACAAAAAGATAAAAAACATTTACATTAGAGAAAGTCTTCTACTCTGACTTTCGATGAAAGAATGAAATATGACTTAGTTCTTTGAAATAATGTTATGTGTTTTAAAACATATAAGTCTTTCTTACTTATTTACAAATATCGTGTTCGATTTTCAAATAACAACATATATATAATCACTATGAAACATGTTTATTTAAGTAATGATATAGATGACGAATTTTATAATTTAAAAAAAGAAGAATTAATGAAATTTACATATATTCTTATCCTATTTTTCAATAGGATTTTCTTGTACCATTTGTTCAACAAGTAGAATTTATGGCAAAACATCCAGTACTTTGTATGTTTTATGCCGATGGGTAAAAAAAGAAATCTCAATTCATATTTTAATCATAATTTATAATCATTTGTTTTTACTAGTCTTTTTCTTGGTATTTGTAAAAGTGAACAAGCAGCTGAAACGATGATGAATTCAACCGATAATAATTCACCTATAGTTGGATTACGTATGAATTCAATAAAGGTGGATTATAGAGCTGTTGCAGCAACACCATCTTCAAGTAGACCAATTAAAGTTCATACATGTGCTGTTCGTGTTGATATTTATAATAGTTTGTTAACGAAATTTTTTCATACCTTTAACTATATTGAATTGTTTAGAAAACACCAACAAATTCCAATATCGTACATTTGATTCAAGCATACTTCCTATTGATATAAAAAAATTTGTAACTACTGCTTATACAGAAAACGCTAGTCATATAAGAGTTTTATCTAATCTTGGTAATAATAATGATGATAGAAAATATAGATCTTTTACAGATTTCGATAAATATTATGGTAAGTGAAACGAAATTAATATATTATCATATTATTTTATATTTACAGATGATTTTCTACATGATATTTATAAAACAAATGAAAAATATAAACCACTAACTAATCTTATTCTAAAGTAAGATATTCTATTTCAATTTCTTTTTATATTATTATTTAATATTAGCGTTGAGAATGAAGACAATGATGATAGTAATTCTAATGGTAATGACAATCAACATACAGAGTTGGCCAATATGTTATCAGAAAATCCAGGTAAGATAAATAAAAGTACATATTAAAATCAATTTAAATTTTATTATAGAGTCAGTTCCTCCTAATTTAACATCACCACTCAATGATGAATGTGTATGAAATTTATACTATATATTTTGTCTCAATATATCTCTCTCTTTTTTTTCCTAGACTTCTAATACAATTAGTAATCATAATACAATATCATACGCACAAACCGGTTTTAATAGATCACCATTACATAGTATTCATTCACCACCTCAAACTCTAGATAATCAAGAATTAATTCGATATGCTCTGTCACATCCTGATCTTGTTACAGAACTTTTACGTCAAATTGATATCCAACAACGAGAATTATCAATGCCGTATCAGAACCAGCAAGCATTTCCAATACAGTCACATTATCAACAACAACAACAACAACCAGTTAATCAACAATTTCATCAGCAACTTATCTCTCCTATATATCACAACCAACAAAATAATGAAAATCAATATCAACAATCATTAACTTCTTCGAATTATAATAATCAATGGATACCACAACAAGGTTTAACACGAGCTCAAATGGTATCATTGCCGCAAGATATTCTAAATCAAACAACATTTCAAGTAAAGCAAATTTATTGAAAAATAATAGTTTTTTTTTATAGTTAACAGACATTAATACCATTAATTAAGGTTTCTTCTGCCTATTAAACATTAAAATATCACACTTGTAAATCTGATCTATTGAGTGTGTCTGAAATTCAAATTCCAAATGTAGTATCTATTTCTTCTTTATTTATTTATGTCAAACTAGACACGTCATAGATGATCTTATACTAATCAGATTGCACAATAAAACCTTCCATAATAGATCATCTATTATACATCACATACATCATCTTCAATATTTTAGTAATTGTTCATGTCTCTATCATTTAGTAAGAAAAGTATACCTAGTTTATTAAAATTTAAGTTTTAATTAAGAAGGAAAAATCTCGTTGAATAAGTACTATGCAAATGAACTGCTATTCTTTGTACACATGATAATTGATTGAAAAGCATACTAATGTCAATGTTCAAAATTGTCCCTTTTTTTTATTAATAGAAATATCATCGATATAAATTATTCTTTTCATTATCTTGTTTTAAACTATATACAAAAGATACAATCAAGTTGAGTTCTTTTTTTTCTGAATAGAACTTCTTGATTTATTTATACATCATCATCTTTTTTGATACAGTTATTACAATATATAAATAAATATCTTTTATATTCATCTGTTCGTACAAGGTTAAATTTATTTATATTAATTAACTCGCATTATTTATTATTTAAACAAATTTTTCTTGCTTCACAAAAATTAATCTTGAATTTTGTATTTTAGGCACAGGCGATCTCATCAGATCAAGATTTATTACAATTCGACGATTGGCTTCCTCCAAATTAAAACATTTAGTTATATTATATTATTTTTTATAAACTGTTTTTTTGTCATATATTATAAATAAAAATTCAGAGATATGTATACGAAATAATACATTCAGATATCTCCCATTTGAATAAGAACTATAAGTTGTTTTTTTCTTATTGAAAAAAAGACATTCTTCTATTTCATAAATTTTTAATACTATGTTGAATAATTTCTAAGAATTGTTTTAAATATAATATATTATTCGTTAAATAGAAGAATATTCCAATATGTGAAAGAAATCAAATTATGTCTAAATAGAGACTTAACCAATGTCTAGGAAATAGCTATTATCATTATTATTATTAATCTGTCTTGTCTGTAGTGTTTATAAGAACGATATCTTTCCTTTTTTTTTTGTAGCAATTCTGTATTTATCCAAACGAAGAAGCAGAATAATCATAACAAAAATAACACCAATTTGCCAACGAGAAAAACAAGCAATCTATCAAATGACTCAGCTGGAGACCATCGTCTTCGTTTTAATAGCATATCTGTAGTAGTTGACAAAAAAAAAGAAGAATCCGTTGTATATCCAGTTACCTTACATATCTTTTCATTGTACAATGATTTTCAATAGCGAATCAATAGTTCCTATAGAATAGCAAAGAAGAAAAAAGAAATGGTGACCACCACATGTTCACAAAAAAGAAACAACCATAGAGAATAGACTATGCATAGTCCGCTATGTCAAAAGAAAAAAAAAAGGGATGAGACTAATTTATTTAGAACCGACACGAAGAACAAGAAGAATAAGAACGAGACGATAACGCATTTTTTTGCGTTTCCTCACTCTCATGTTAGTTCAACTAACAACAGAAAAAAAAGACACAGAAAAAAAGTCATCGAATGTGTTTGCGCGTGCATTCTATGCGGTAGTAGTATATATACATAGAGAGCATAAATATGTAAGCAGATGGTTGTTTTTTCTTTTTCATTCCTTTTTTTTTTGCTTCTTCTTATTTTAGACAATGTATAATATTTGTTGAACAATCGCTACTTATTTTCGTCATCAACGAATATTCAAATTAAAAATGAATTAGTTCTCTTTTTTTTATATTATATATATATATACATGGGAAAGGTCGCACACTGCCAATATTGATGAGGTATGACGATCAGCATGTTCGATGTTAACCAGCTGGCAGACTGAGATAAAAAAAAAAGAAGAAATGAAGAGATGGATGATCTGATTGTTGTCTCCCGCCAAGAAGATTCTTTTTCCTTCTTCTTCTTCTTCTTTTTTTCCATGTCGGTCAAGCTAGAAATGGCATATACATATATGAACAGTAATGATGTTCTATAAACATCTATTCTTATTTTGGAAATGATATGTATCTATGCTTCTATTCCTGCTCAGTTATCATTATTTGTTCATCAGTTTCTTTTTTTTTCTTCTTTCTTGGTATCTTCTTTTCGTCCTTATCGGGAGAAAGAACAGGAAAGACAGCTAGAGAGAGAGAGAGAGAAAAAAGAAAGCATCATCCTATTGGTGTTGTCCTTTCTCTCTCAGCCGAAAATACTTCCTACTTCTGTATATACATACATATCAATCAGAAGATATGCCGTTTTTCTTCTTCTTGTATTGGCCAAATTTGGAGCCGACATTACTCTAATATCCTGATTCTTCTATATTCCTACGTACAAGAATAGAGTGTGCATATATACATACACACATACACAAAAAGGAATCATCAGTAGTATATATATGCAAGCATCTTATACGATTCTATATTTAGTCGTTTATATCGCATCTATGCTGATACATGTTCAATAGAGTAAGTAAGTAAGAATCTTTTAGAAAGTATCCCACTTCGTACTTCTAAGACAGGCCATATTGAAAAGATATCTTATGGAATGTAATAGAAGTATGCCGAGGGCTTTCTCATCCGACATTTAAATAAATGAATGAATGAATCTACTTGTTTTTTTTTAAATAAATACAAAAACTAAAATATAAAAAGACACAATCAACATCTTTCATAGATACGTATATATCTTCAATCGGTCAATCA